ACCCAAATTAAATTTACGTCCTTTTTTCCCACGAATTGAGCTTTATTTTGCTGGTATTTGATCACCTGTGCATGTTTTATTGTTTGCGCTATAAAAAAAAAAGACTGACAACTATGAGAAAAAAAAACTATATTTTTGACTTTTTGCTATTAAACATGTTCATTAAAAAATTTTAAAAAATCAAATTTCATCATAAATTTAGGCCAAAATGTATTCTGCTGCATGTTTTGCTAAAACATATTCCCAATAAGTGTAAATTCATTGGTTTATGTGAAAATTATAGCGTTTACAAATGGCGGTATAGATACTGGGATTTTTTTTAAAATGTATTTTTACTAGTAATGGCGGCAATCAGTGACTTGACTGACCTGACTGTGTGCAGGGAGTGTTTTACTTGGGGGCGGTGTCTGTGTGCTTCACTGTAAGCACAGCCATCCAAAGCAGTGTGCCCGAGCTGACAGAGAGGTGAACTGTTAGTAAACAAATCAGTCCTCCTTCCTGTCGGAGATCCTCGGTAATCACCTGGCACCGGCGAGTAATCACCAGCCGGGACCCTGTGATTGACAGCCATCGCTGTGAATGGCGGTGCAGGTAGGGCGTTCGCACGCACCCCCTACCCGGAAATGTACGTATATATACACGTGATTTTGCGCACCCGTATTTCTGCTATAGGGCGGCGGGGAAGCGGTTAATCCAGCCATACATGGATTGAAATTCGGCCGGTACAGCAGGGACCATGTATTGGCAGGGAGGTTGTACAAAAGTCGATCTAACGATTGATGTCTCTACAACTGTCCTGTCAGATTTTCCCTGCTCAATCAGTGCTGCAGGTTATAGCCTGCAGCACTGATCAGTGAATACTTGGTGAAGTCTCCCTGTTGTCAGAAAACAATAGCTCTATGGAACGGAATCCCCCATCCACATCGTTATTTCTCGATCACCCTGCCGATTGAACAAAAAAAAAATTGGATTAATCTATAGGCTTGCATAGTGTTATCAGTGACTCTGTATACCTTAGACAGGTGCAAACTCTCCAATGTGACCAACACCATAAGATAAAAAGAACTTGGTTCCTTAAAGCGGAGTTCCACCCAAAAGGGGAAGTTCCCCTTTAAAGATTGATCCCCTGCTCCCCATTAAGGATTGGCACCTTTGGGGGGTACCCGAATTTGACAGGTACCCGCCCCCACTTCCCTTGCGATCGCCTAGGCGATTGGAAACGGAAGTTGTCCCTTCTCCCTCCCCGAGGTCTTGTGGGAGACGTGACAGGTCGCAGAAGACGACGGGGCCATTCAGGAAGCGCAGCACTACTTGCGCATGCGCAATGGGCACCCGGCTGTGAAGACGCAAAGGGGTTTATTTACTAAAGCTGGAGAGTCCAAAATCAGACTCCCTTCTGCATAGAAACCAATCAGCTTCTAACCTCAGCTTGTTCAATGAAGCTTTGGCAATGAAACCTGGAAGCTGATTGGTTTCTATGCAGAAGGGAGTCTGATTTTGGACTCTCCAGCTTTAGTAAATAAACCCCAAACTGTCACAGCCGGGTGCCCACACTGAAGATGCCGGCGCCTGGAATACAGGACAGCCGGTGAAACGGGCTGTGGCGGAGGCAACGCGGGATCGTGGGACAGTGGCTGTTTTTTAAAAGTCAGCAGCTGCTGACTTTTATTTTTTTACAGTGTGAGTGGAACTCCACTTTAAACGTTGCTTTATCGTTCTGATTAAAAAAACTTGACATTTAATCAAATCCTTTACAAGAGGTCATTGACTTCAAAGTGATTTCATAAGGAATGTTCTTAAGCAAAGTATGTTGTACTATATGTGATAGGTCATGGAGAGTCTAAATGCAACATAGATGCTTTAAGCAATAGCTTTCTTCAATGAACACGTGCAGTATATGTTTTTCATAAATCATGGGGTGATATGTAGCATACAGAGGAAGATCCTAAACTGTTACAGACAACTATGTACCGTACTTTGTGCTTTCAACAGGACTAGATTTTATGTAGTGTTGGCTTACAAAATGCCATGTTTTAATAGCATTGTGGACAATTTTGATTTTAACTGCACAGTCCTCAGTATATGAATCCTGAATATTTTAGTAAAATGATCTGCACATGGGGAAAGCTTGCAAAGGATAACCAGGGGCACTTTTTTCTTCGGTTTTTTTTTCTAGTTATAGTTCAAAAATATCAGATATTTACTCTCTCATCTGTTTAATACAAGGGCATACAAGAGCCAGGATTATTAACGTGGCAGGTGGCAAGAACTCAGAACGTCCTGCTTCCTGGGTGGCAACCCTTATTAGTCCCAAGCAGGGGTGGACTGACAACTCATGGGGCCCCCGGGCAATAGGGGATCATGGGGCCCCTGTGTCCTTGCCCAAACTCAAAAAAGCCTATGAAAAAGGTACCAGGGGCATCTCATGGGGCCCCCTACTGACCCCGGGCCCTCGGGCAGTGCCCGAGTTTCCAAATTTTCAGTCCGCCCCTGGTCCCAAGTTAGGAAGTTCCTGCAGTTCTGAGTCATTTCGCTTCCTCCTTCCACCCTTTTTCCCTCCTTACCTGTTATTCTGGGTTCTCTTAAAAAAATCATACTCACCTGCCCATCAGATCACTAGCTTTGTCTTGCAACGATTCGCTGTTCATGTGTCAGAACCTCCATCCCATGTCTCAATCTTGGTCCGCATTATTTGGCTGCCTCCTCCATTTTCAGGAGCATGATTTGTCATTCTGGCCTAGGCCAGAATGGCGATTGAGGGCAAGACTACTGTAAAAAAAAAAAAAAAAAAGCATTGTTTCCCCCCCATTTAAAGACACAGCTGTTATTGCAGAAGTTGATATAGAGGCAGTCATTTTGGAGAGTAAAATTCAGCGGACTCCATGCATGCGTTAGTTATGGTTATATGAGCACTTGGACTAGTAAGTAGTACATGCAACCCTGAAGGCCCCGATATGGACACACACTCACCGGCCACTTTATTAGGTACACCTGTTCAATTGATTGGTAACACAAGTTGCTAATCAGCCAATCACATAGCAGCAACTCAGTGCATCTAGACATGGTGAAGACGACTTGCTGCAGTTCAAATTGAGCATCGGAATGGGAAAGAAAGGGGATTTAAGTGACTTTGAATGTGGCATGGTTGTTGGTGCCAGACGGGCTGGTCTGAGTATTTAAAAAACTGCAGATCTCCTGGGATTTTCACACACAACCATCTCTAGGGTTTACAGAGAATGGTCTGAAAAAGAGAAAATATTCAGTGAGCGGCAGTTGTGTGGATGAAAATGCCTTGTTGATGTCAGAGGTCAGAGGAGAATGGGCAGACTGGTTGCTGCAACATTCAGATGGTCGGGTCAGAATTTGGTGTAAACATAAAAGCATGGATCCATCCTGCCTTGTATCAACGGTTCAGGCTCGTGGTAGTGTAATGGTGTGGGGGAGATTTATTTGGCACTAGCAAGGTGTACCTAATAAAGTGGCCAGTGAGTGTACTGTATATACATATGGTATTTTCTGGATGCTTTCATTATTTCCTTTATTTCTGGATGCTTTCATTATTTCCTTTGTTTATTTCTGGATGCTTTCATTATTTCCTTTGTTTATCTAGATCAAGCTTGTAAAATATACCATATACACAATGATATTTGTCTGAAAATGGAATGATATTCATGGATCTCTGATTTAGGATCATTGGAGGATAGGGCCTCCCTTTCCCCATTTTCCCCATGGCTTAGGCAAGGGTGTCAAACTCAGTTTCATTATGGTTGCCCTCAAATAGCCAGTTGTATCTGTAAACCTAGATGTCCAGAGCACCCCACTCCCCCTTACATCAGATGTCAAGAGTCCCTCATCACAGTGCACCCCCCTTACCTTGTGGTGCTAGAGGTGGAGCTGGGAAGTAAAAAGAGCAGGGCTGGACCAGAGGAGCTGGCAGAGTCTGCTGAATGTTGAGACCAGGGGAGGTGGAGACAAGGGCGTGATGTAGCTGCACAGAGAGACATAGGAATTGTAGGAGAAGTTCTGACCTTCTCTCTACTGCTGAGACAGGATGGAGGAGGGGCAGAGATGAGCCTTTTTGCAGTTGCACGGAGAAGGGCAGGATCTGGAGGAGGCGTTCTGTCCTCCTTTCTGTGCCAACTGCTGAGACAAGGTGGAAGCAGAGACGAAGGGGGTGCTGCAACTGCAGGAGAGGTGCGAGGGCCACATGAAATGGCCTGGTGGGCCAGATTCGGCCTTGTGTTTGACACATGTGGCTTAGGGTATATGCTTCATTGCTGCTGCTAGTTCTAACATCAACTATGAGTCCTCATGCACACTGGACATTTTTACAGCTGCTGTTTTTGGCTTTTGACGTTTTTTTCTACAGCCAGTACACTCCCCAGCATGTTATCCAATGTGTCCATGTACACATAGACTGTAATCAACTTTTTTTGGCAGGGCAGTTTTTTGGCTGGAAAAAAAACCCAGAACTAGTGGGTTTCTAGAGGAGTTTTTTTATCTGCAAAATTGCTATAACGTGGTAAAATGCTGTAAATCTCGGCAAACCAGCATTTTTGGACATTTTTTTGACCAAAAAAACCCCCTCTAAGAATGCTAGAAACTGTAAACGCGAAAAAAACGTGGCAAAACGCCACTAAATGCTAATACAAAAACTCTAAACACTGGTTTTTAACATGACTTCACACAGCTAACGTCACCAACATTGTTAAAGCGCCTCGTGTGCATGGAGCCTGAATGATAAAAACAAATAGTGGAAACTGAAGGACTCCTATCACACACAATTTTACCATCACAAACCCGTTAAAGTTACAGTGCCAGTTTATTGCAGTCTTTCTGTGAAAATATTTCCTTCCCCAGTACAAAAGGATGTTGCTAGAGAAAGAACTGACTTACAAATTATCCCAAAGGATAGTGTGAAGATTTGACATGCTGAATGATAACCAGGAGCTGTTTGTTCAATGCAAAACTGTCATTCTTCTTTTGTTTCTGTCCCATAGGGCCAGCGGTGGCGTAAAGAATTTGAAGATGAGAAACCATTTGATCTAGAAAGCTCTGGAGATGATGACTTCATTGACGAAGAAGAAACTGATGATGTATATTCTGGATCAGGATCTGGTGGTAAGTATGATGGAAACTCTTCACCAAAAGATAGCTTCGAAAAATGTATAGCTCTTTCTCTATTGTTTTTCTGTCGTTGTATAATAGTGGTAAAATATAGAGGAAGTGGGGTTGATTTACTAAAGGCAAATAGACTGTACACATTGCAAGTGAAGCTTCATTTTTCCCAAGAGCTTAATGAATGTGATGCAGTTTCGCGTTGTTAAAAAAAAACCCAATCGGTGCAAGGAAAATGTTTTAAAAATGCATTTTTTTGCTTGCACGTGATTGGATGATGGAAAGCAGCAGCACTTCACTGCATTCACTAAGCTGTCAGGGAAATGGGTGCAGCTGCACTTGCAAAGTGCGCAGTTTATTTGCCTTTACTAAATCAACCCCATGGTGTGTTTATTTTCACTTTCCACCCATTTCCTGTTATTTTACTCATCAACATGACCTGTCCAGATACATTTATTTTGTGTTTCTATAATTTTGTTGGTAGCCTTCTATAGTAGAGTGCACCAAGTTATCTAAAATAAAACTCACTTTTATCTGCTTACAGATTTCGAATTGGAATCCAGACTTGATTTTGGGGTTAGGTATACAACAGAAACCCCCATTTTACCTCCCACAGCCACAGCACTGAAACCAGCACCTACAGTACATGTCATTCCCGCTGTACAAACAACATGGCTTCCGCCTACAACCCAAGCCACCATTATACATCGACACCATCCATGGGCTCCTCCTGAAGAATCAGAAACTCCTTCTATTACCGCTGCCCCTACTCCTACTAGTCCTATCAAGGAAGCAGCAACCGCTGCAGATATAACCCCAGGACTTGTCAGGACAACAGAAGTACACAAATTACCGCCCATCATTGTTGTTTCCACTTCTACAACACCAGTGCCTAGTTCCACAGAAGAAGAGACTGAAATGTGGGAGGATACAACTGAAAATGTGGTCATTATTCCCAGTGAGGAAGGCAGTAGGCTATGGCCTACTGAGGATGAGAGGACTGTACAGACAACTGCTGCAGATGAACGTGACATAGAGGATCTAGACAAAGTGACATTCAGTCAGCAACCACTGGTAAGAATAAAACCAACTAGAATAAAGCAGAAAATCAGCTAACTAAATATGCCTAGAATTCTTCAATGTTCAAAAATGCCCAATGATATGCAAGGTACCCCAACATTAGTAGGGCAGCGGAAGGGATTGTTTTCAGTGCTAAGCTTAAATACAAACTGATAGTTGCTGCGAGAGGAACTATTAAACTAGGAACTCACATTTTGCTGTTGACAGTAAAAGCGATGATACAATTAACTGGTGTTCACATTGAATGGAATGCTGCAGTTATAGTATGTAAACACCTTTGTTATATGTTGTCCAGGTTATTCAAAGTGGCCAAGGCTCATTCACTGTTAGCCATAGGCATAATGTAGATACACTTTTGGAAAAGCCCAGGGCATAATGTGGACATATCATAATATTACCAAGCAAAGATATGTTTATTAAATGAATAACCCCGTTCATGAAGCTTTATTCTTAGGGGCCCCTCTGCTCACTTGCGAACTGTCACTTTAACCTCCCATCCCTGGTGTCAATCAAAGTCAAACAGGTTCCACAGTCTGTGTGAGTGTGAATAAATAAACCTCACATTGTTGCTTTCAGTATGGGTGAAATAAGCCACATATTGTCCATTTCAGTTGGGGTAAATTAGCTCCATATCAGTTTCCATGGGAGTAAAATAAGCCCCATGTCATTGGTTTTCATATCAGCAAAATGTTGAGGTAGTCAAGCAAATCAACATCAGCAAGAAAAATGTACAACTCAACAAATACATAAAAATAAATGATTACACTTTTCCAAAAACATTTCAAAACGATGGATGAAAATCCATCCCAATTATTAAAAGAATATATATATATAAAGCACGAGCTACTACAAGAATCACAGAGTGTAAGTACTAGCTTATAAGGATGAAGGACTCACTTAGGGTCAAGTTGAGTATTTGTAAGACCCCTCTGTGGGTCCTTCATCTGAAGCGAACCAGGTATCTTTTTGTGCTGGGATAAAAAGTGCACATACAGTGGGGATCGAAAGTTTGGGCACCCCAGCTAAAAATTTGTATTAATTTGCATAAAGAAGCCAAGGAAAGATGGAAGACTTTTGTAAGGAAGAATGGGCAAAGATACCTCAAACAAGAATTGAAAGACTCTTGGCTGGCTACAAAAAGCGTTTACAAGCTGTGATACTTGCCAAAGGGGGCAGTACAAGATATTAACTCTGCAGGGTGCCCAAACTTTTGCAGACGCCATTTTTTTGTTTTCTGTTATTTTGAAAGTGTAAATGATGGAAATAAAATCTAACTTTTGTTGACATATTATAAGAATGTCTAATCTGTAATTTGATGCCTTTTGGAGATTTTTCCATCTTTCCTTGGCTTCTTAATGCAAATTAATACAAATTTTTAGCTGGGGTGCCCATACTTTCGATCCCCACTGTATGCCATTGACAAATTAAATGTATCACTAAGTGACATCTTTGATGTTTTGGGGGGTGTTTTCTTATCTACTCTTTATACAACTATACCACGGGGGCCTGTGCTGAATTGTAACAACTAGATACTTGGGTTCCTATGTCCTGAAGAAGCGGGTTTCACCTGAGAAATGTGTTGACAAAGGGATACTGGTTTAAGATTATGTTTTATTTGCTGTGTTTTGTTTATTTGTATATTGTACCTCTGATATAAATGGGTTTTTTTTTTCACACACCCTTATAAGCTATTTCTAACTTGATTCATGTAGCAGCTGGAGGTGGACAAATTTCGATCTATGTATCTGCAAGCTGGTCATACTGAAGTCAATCAATCAATCAGCTTCAGTACAACCAGCCTGTCGTTTTTTTTTTTTTTTCTTGCCTGATCACTGTCGGCAGCAGCAATGATCACACTGGGGTTTATTTACTATGCAGAATCTCGTGCACTTCTGCATATAAACCAATTAGCTGAAGTTAGAAGCTGATTGGCTACCATGTACAGGTGCATGAGATTCTGAGTGAACCAACTTTAGTAAATAAACCCCTGTATTTTGCCGGTAAGGAAGGCTCCCTGCGCTGCTCTCACTGTGTTGATGGGGGAATAGAGCAATTTTCTTTCTTTCTCTGTATGCTCTAACTCCCTTCTTAGGATGAGACTTTGTGCAGTATAATATGAATTGTAATTGATCAATGATAATGTTTACAATGCTGCCTGTATAGAGCCACGTAGTCTCTTCCAGGTCCTGCATTGTAGCCCCTATAAAAAAAAAAAAAAAAAAAAAGAGAGAGAGGGTGCCACCTTCTAAGTGTCATTTTATTTATAACTTGTTAAAAACAGAAGTAATTATGCACTCACTGTGTGACACTAAGTGCTGGTGTGTAGCAACAAATAGGTCTAGTATATCCTCCCGGCATGGATCTTCTTCTAGAGAAGGTGAGAACAATGACTAGCTATAGAGTCAAGCAGAGTGAAGTGTGGAGGCGGTTGAGGGATTCAGATGCAGCTGTCCCGGTCTCCTCCAGTTTTGGACAGCGGAACAATGCAGGGAAGCATCGAGTCTCCATGGCAACCTCTGATGTTAGGTGTGTTGTGCTTGGGGGAGTGGCTAAGCATTTTGTGACAATCCTGCCCCTTCATCAAGCCTAATATTGGCTTCGGGGGAAAGCCATTTATTAGCAGCCACTGCCATGGTAACAAGATGGCGCAGCGTGCCCAGATAAGAATAAAATTACTTGCTCACATAAGCAAAGGTAAATAAGATAACCATGAAACTAACTTGATTAGTTTTATTACCCAACTTCATGCAAGGTACAAAAACATGGAAAACATTTTCGAAAGATATGGGATTCTCCTACAGAACCCGCTCCTAGGCCCTTTTTTGCCCCCAAAGAAAAGTAGGGCCTACGATATTAAAAGTCAGGTGGCTCCCAGCAAGATCTCCAAAAAGCCAACAGCTCGTCCCTGTCAGTGTAAATTTTTTTGACATTTAGTATGCATGTTCCAATGTTGGAAATGCAAATGTCTCACATGCAGTTTTGTCCTGCATGGCCTTTTTTGGGAATGGTAAAGTCTTCCCCATTTCCAGCTTTTTTCATTGTTCCACAGAATTCATAATATATTGTCTGACTTGCCCATGTGGACTGCTGTATCTGGGGAGTACAATTTGAACCCTCAGATCTCAATTTGGGAAACATCTGGATGATTGAACAAGGGAGTACCGACTATAGTATCCCCAAACACTTTAAGAAAAACATGGAAAATTCAGGAAAGGAAAGGATAGTGGTTCTAAAACAGCACTTTAAAAAGCTCTGCTAACAAGAAGCATATTTTTTTTATGCTCAACACATTAACCCCTGGGAGTCGAAATGAAAAACTTGAGCTAAATACTGTGATTTAATTGTTTTTCCTTTATGTCAAGATCCATTTACCTACCTATATATTTTAGATCTTATCTCTACCTATACAGTATATTCTGGTATTAATCCAGTTTATTATATATTATTCTTTTTATATGTTTTCCTAAATCCTGTAGGATTATAGTTCTGTTTTTATGAAGGTACAAAACTGTTTAACTATATTATTGTACATTTTCTAAATTTTATTTATAACTTTATAAATTAATTATGTTACGTAGATGAATTTTATATTTTACACTTTTATGAAGGTGTTTTGCAGTATAGATCCTGAAAAGTTGTGCCATGCAGCCAGTAATCATGTATATTCCCCACTTTTTAAACATATATTTTTTACATATATATTAACTGAATTTCCTTCCCCCTTCTCTCGCTATATTAATTCGCTTTCCATCATTGTATTATTTTTTATTTTATTTATGACATTCTCTAATTTTCTATTTGCAAGTAATTACATTCTTATCTTGGCATGCTGCACCATTTAGTTCTAAAGCTTCCAGTTTTACCATGGCAATGGCTGGACCTAGTATGCTTGATAAATAGGTGGGACTGTCCCAAAACGCATAGCCATGCTCCCACATGCCTGATGTCACAGTTTTGCAGTTCTGAGACCTGATGTTCCCCCACATCACTCTGCTGTCCACGGCTGAAAGAGACTGGACGCGCTGCGTCTGAATCCCTGAGCCGCTTCCATCCTTCACTCTGCGTAGCCCAGCCGCATTCCTGCTGAACTCCAGCATCTAGTCATAGGTCTCACCTTCCCCAGCAGATGATCCATGCTAGGGTGGATATATTGGACCTACTTCTTGCTGCATGCTAGCACTTAGTGTCACACAATGAGTGCATAATTACTTGTGTTTTTAATGAGTTATCAATAAACTATGTGGCTCCTTCTCTGTGTTTTTTTTTTTTTTTTTGCATTACGCAGCACCACCAAAGTTCCTTTACCTGAGAGGAGCAGCAGCCCTCAAGTGTTTCTTCCTGCTTCATGCTGGACTGTTAGGACTTTATTAGGCTACCATTGTTCGAGCACCAAATGAGATGATATACCTATTGTTGTACCATCCTTTATACACTATTGTAGCCCCAGTGCATGCATATTCCAGACTCAAAAGGTTTCATTAGTAAGCCCATCTGCAACCCAACAAACAGCTTTACAGGCTATAGAGTCTAGACTGTGAATGTGGAGGGGTGCAAGACTGGAAAGCTTTAAGAAGAAAGTTTGTGCAGTGCTGGTATGGCTAAACAGAAGAATGTTTCTAGAGAAGAGCAATAAAAGTAAAGATCTTCCATTACATAAATGATCAGTATGAGGAAGAGGCACTCAGGATGGATGCATAAAAGTGCACTTTAAGTATCATGCTGGGAACCAACAGTATCTTTCCATCTTAATTTTTTCATACTATGCTTTATTTATTGTTACATTCTTAATTTATGAGTAAAATACTAGCATTATAACCAGGGGCAAAACATAAAACCAGTATACACTCAAATTAAATAATAATAAACCAGTGGAATCCCAAGTTAAGTTAGCCCATTTCTTTTAAATGTAAATTCTTATGTATATTTTTGTCAGAATATTTGTGCCATTTCCCTGAAATATCTTATCTGTTCTTTTGCTGTTGTTTCCACCAGGA